AAACTTATTAAAGCATATAGTTAAACGTGTAACCAAGATTGGCAATTTAATAGATGTTTCTTACTGGTAAACTCAACATTCACAAGTAACAGATTAACTAAATATTATACACTACCTTTCACAGCATTAGTGACTTGAACTTTTCTACTGACTTGAACTCCCTTAACTGTTGTTCCAGGCTTTACCTGGGTCCCAGTAGAAGTTGTTTCTGGCTTTATACAAAGACATCTACCATCCTCCTGTAAAGATAAAAAAAAATCCATAGATTTATGCATAGATTTTGTGTCTTGAAGAACCGAATTTAGAGCAAATGAGCAGAATTGTCAAGTAATGGCAAAATTTAATCAGACATGAATTATAACAGGGTGACAGATATCAAATAGAACATTTTTTGAATTGTTACAGCCTAATCAGTAGGAACTTGAAACCATTGTCTATGTCAGAACAGAATTTTATTATGATGTACAGCATATTACATATTCAAATTTATTGAGAGAAAAAAATGTTCAAATTTACGTACAGTTAAGTTTCTTAAAGCCCCTTTCTGGTATGTGATTTTTAAATAAAATGCAATAATTCAATAAGCATGATAATTAAGCCTCTTTTAGGATGCTTGCTTTATGAAGTATGAAAATTATGTAATATCATGTAACTGGTATTGTATCAGAATGTCTACCACAAATTCCACATTTTTGATAACTGAAACAAACATACCTTGATCAAGTCTGAAGCCTCGTCCTGGGCACATTGTGGTGGGCACTGACTCTTGTTTTCTTCAGATGTCTTTATAGGAAGATTTGCTCTCTGTCAAAAAGATCATTAAGGAAATAATTAATTTAATCAGAATACAAAGAAAGAAAGATACATAGGGGATATTTGTATGTTTTGCATGTAAGATTGAAATATATGTCAATAATTGAACACCAGATACAATAACTTCACGAGTGGCGTAACCACAAGTGAAGATAGAAAAGTTGGTGTTCACAAATGAAATACATTTTAATCTTATATGTATAACAAATAAATTGTCTTTTTATTTCATACTTTTTAAGTGATTTAAAGTATTTTTACATATATTGCCACTTGAACGTATGCATTCTCTTATGTGACATCATCACATCATCAATTTTGAAATATAGGTCTGTTAAATTTCTCTACTTTGGTTACATTTTGAACATGATGTATGATGATATAAACTGTGTGTTCCTAAAGAAGCAAAAATTACGTATGACAGCATTTAGCTTTGCCTATTACCGTATCCTATTTAGTTATGATATTCTTTTCACCAGCATTCACATATTTTCCGGCCACAGTGAAATTTATATTTTAAAAATTGCACTAGTGGTTTATCAGAGTATAATCATCTGATATATTACAGTAAAACACTAGAAAGCATGAAACAAATGACTGGATTTCAACAATGTAATTACACATTACTGTTGGTCAGTATTTTTTTAAAAAGTACAACTACTAATGGATGCTGACATATGTAATAGAAAGATCAGTGAAACTCGAGGTTATTTTCTTGTATCAGTGAGCAAAATTCCTATGTAGAAATGTATGTATGTTGATCTGGCATTAGGCTAGCTCTTTCTTTGAAGACTTGGCTAAATCACAGAGCTATATTATTATGGACAGGAAACTATGATGTAATACACTTTAAATCTGTATAAGAGATTTATTGATCAGCATGTTCACATTTTGTGAGATTTTCTGAGATTATAAGTTCACAGCCATGTTTCCTATAGGAAGTTATAGAAATAAAAAGAAGTAGTAACAAAATAGAAGTCGCAAAATTGTAAAAGAAAAGTTACGATTAAAAATGTAAAGATTTTTCTCAATTATGGACAAAACTGCTTTAACACTTTTAAGAAGAAAACAATCTTTGAAAAGATCCATACCTCTGTCTGTACTGATAAACTGTCCTCAGACTCCTGATTGTTCTCACTGACACATGGCCCATTTTCACTAATCTCAGGTAATTCGGCATCACTATGTATCTAAAACAAAATTATCATAATTCATGTATATTAGACAATCAATGTTATTAAACCAAAAAGAAAATTATGAATTCTCTACAGCTGTCATTGATTCAGTGAAAAGCATATTTGATTTATACATTGATACCCAATGACACACTGAAATTTTGTTTCTGTGAATACAGTGAAACACTGAAATATTGATATATATATACTCCTTATCTCTAGTATATAATTCCTTTACATAGCTGTTATAAATGAGCCGGGTCATGACAAAACCAACATAATGTGTTTGCGACACGCATGGATCCAGACCAGCCTGCGAATCCGCTTACAAACCGTAGAGAAACGGATAGCGAACAGCATGGATCCTGATCAGAATGCGCAGGCTGGTCTTGATCCATGCTGGTCGCAAACACATTATGTTGGTTTTGTCGTGCCACGGCTCAAATGTCCCTTGCATGATTTTTTCCTAACTGATTTTTTGCTATCACTGCTATGAAATGGGTTCATTGTGTAACAGTAGCTTAGTGTTTGACATGGCCACCTGCTTTTGTATATGTTTTGAATAATTTTTCATAATTAATTATTCCTAGACATTTTAAGTGTGTAAGGCTATACATCTGCTGCAAATATTATTGTTTGAGTAAAAAAAAACTTCCAAAATTCTTGAGTGGAAGATCTATGTTCTTTAACTGCATTAAAAATGAATAGTGCATGCACAAAATCATTGCTAAATAGACAAGAGTGTACTTAAAATTGTACTAAGCAGAACAATATTATGTTTCAGAACATTTAGTAATGTTAACATACAATATTCATGAGTGTTAAATAACAGCGGCAGGCTGAAGCCTATAATACTTGGGGTCTTTCATCAAAACCAAATTCAAATACTTCCATTACTAAACACAAAATGAGGGGCTACAGATTTAGCTAGTGTATGTGGAAACAAATGTTCACTTGCTTTCTTGATATTTACCGTAAGTGCTTTCTTTTCACTTGTCCAGTGGAGGGCTGAAGTAGTGCTGGTCTGACTGGTAGGGGTTGCTCAGCATTCCAGTTGGTGTGACTTCATATTCTCCAATAATCTAAAAAAATGTATTATTATTATATTAACAAAAACAGAAGATCTACGATGCATTTTGTTAGCAGATTTTGCGTAATTTTCTATGATGAAACATATTTTGTTTGCTCAATTTACAAAATGAATGTTTGTGTAATTTACAAAATGAATGTAACATGAGCTGAATACAGGCTAAGTTGTTCCAAGTTGATCACACCAAGCTGTCTTGAAATCAATCTGGTGATATATCTTTGAGATAGCCTAAGCATTTTACAAATTACAGTGCAAATTTCACCCAAATGTTCCATGTATGACTATGGCAGGTGTCAAGTGCCGTGTGGCAGCCGTAAAAAGTTGCCCCGTACTCACTTCGTGTTGTTATATTTTCTGGTCCTTTCGGGATCATTGATGCCAACACTATAAAGTGCTGAGAATTGAGTACCGCTCAAGCCGGTGCTAGGGGGCGTGAGGGATGTTGCACTTATTCATTATCTCTCATGTACAGACTCAATCAAACCGAGTCTGCAATTCTTATGTTATTTTGTTGTGATTAATGCTTCCGAGGGATCACTTTTTTACCAGAATTTTGTAGAATTCTAGATATTTTGCAGACCTGCACATAAAATTTACTTTGAAGTTTGATGTTTTAAAAAATATCCAACTATTTTCTTTCTTAACAAACATTTGTTGAGACGTGCTTGACCTGTATACAGTATCAGTACAGTATATATCGATATATTAGCCACAAAATTTATCTATTTTAAGATGTATTTTTCAAAAATTTGACATCAAATAAATATGCATAGAAATACACTTACTCTTTCCAATTCACATTTTTATTTTGTCTTCCCAGTCTTAAAAAAAGATATATTATAGAGTAAACCTTGAAACAAAATTATATCTGAAGGTTTTTATAAATCATTGTAGCGCCAAGCTTTTCTTATCAGACTTGTCTGAAGAATGTCACTTTAGAACCATAGATGAGAGAATTGTCACAAAAAAAGCATTGTCAATCATCCAAATATTAAAAGATATTTAAGGATTTTATGTGTGTGTTTTTTTCCGTTGTTTTCAATTCGAGGAACAATTTATCGCTAGCTGTGCACGAATGTTTTCTAGTTTTACGCACGTGTCTCCATGATTACTATGGGGTATTACTATGCGGTAGACTGAGGATTGAATACAGAGTTTAGCTGTTTATTCCGGAGTGTCTGCACGGCAATTATCAAAGCTTTAAACGAAATGAAAGTAACATTAATTTTTACGTTTTGATATTACAAAAGTAAAAATTATTATGGTTGTGTGTAGGTTTTTTCTACAAGGTAACTGCAGATATGGAAATAATTGTTGGAATGAACATCCAAGTGGCGGAAATCAGGGTACGAGCACTTATCTTTTGTAAATCAATTTCGGATAGCACATTTTCGTCTAATTTGTTTATCAGTTTATTCCATATTTCTTAAATTGGTCTACTGCCATGCGAGTAGTTCCCGTACAAAAATCGTAGTTACAATACTTAAAAAATATAATTTAATATGTCTACATCTACATTGTACGTCGGCGCAATCACACTTGATTATGACGCGACGGGTGGTGCTAGGTCAAGAAAAAGAAATATACAAGAAATGATAGAAAGTTAGAAGAGGTTGGATAGTACAAAGGTAGAGATATAGACAAAAAGTATGGCCAGCTATATTTCGCTTCTTCAACCCAAACCTCTCCGGTTACGGTGGCCGCTGCCGGCACAGCCTTGGATAAATCACTAGTGGGTACTTGTAGCTGGGCCCATAAGGCGACTTAGAATGTGAGGGCTGATAGCCCCTGCTTGAAGGATACCAAGTCAGGGGCCTCTGCAAAGGAGGCAGGTAAGCTGTTCCATATTGTGGCTGTATGAGGGAAGAAGGAGTTCTTGTAGTACGATGTAGATGTGGATGGTAGATCTGGAACTTCTTGGAGTGGTCACTTCTACATGTAGTGCGGCTCGGGGCAGGGGTGAGATAATCGCTGACTGGTATGTCTACAAGGTCATTGGTGATCTTGAACATCATGGTCAGCTGGGCTTTGGTCCGTCGTGACTAATGTCTCCCACTCCAAGTGTAGGATCATTGAGGATATGCTGCTTGTGTTGTGGTAACGGTTCGTCACATATCTTGCAGCTCTCCTCTGGACCATCTCGAGCTTGCGTGTAAGGTCCTTGGTATAAGGGTTCCAGATGGTGGAGCAATATTCAAGGCCTGGTCGCACGAGTGACATGTAGGCTGTGCTCTTGACCTGTTCATTGCTGATGCGCAGGTTGCATCGAAGGAAGCCGAGTGTACTGTTGCCCTTCTTCACGATCTTGTCAACATGTTGATTCCAGGAGAGGTTTCCAGACATATGGACTCGAGGTACTTGGTTATAGAGTCTATCTCAAGTGTGTGGCCCTTCAAGGAGTACGGGTATATGATGGGGTTCCTCTTCCTGTGGACCCTGATTATGCTGCATTTCTCTGGGTGGAAACTCATGCCCCAGCGTTTCTTTCACAATGCCAACGTCTTCAGGTCATCCCGTAAAACGTGGCAGTCCTCTTCAGTGTTGATTTCCCGGTATACCACACAGTCGTCAGCAAAGAGTCTGGCTTTGGACGTGACATGAAGTGGCAGGTCATTGATGAAGACCAGGAAGAGTATGGGTCCGAGCACACTTCCCTGGGGGACTCCGCTGATAACGGGTGCTGGGTCGGACGTTGCTCCATCAACAACTACGCGCTGAGTGCGGCCTGTGAGAAATGCCTGAATCCACTTCAGGGTATGGTTTCTGATGCCATAATGATGGAGCTTGACAAGCAAGCGACTGTGTGGGACGCGGTTGAAGGCTTTGCTGAAGTCCAGTACAGCAAGGTCATGTTGTTTACACCAGTCCATGGACTTGGTGAGCTCATCTGTCAGCGTTAGTAGCTGGGTTTCGCAGCTCCGCCTTCTTCTAAATCCATGCTGGCTGTCGGTGAGTATCTTGTGACTATCCAGATGATTCATTATGTTGGTAACGATGATGTGCTCCAGCATCTTGCAGGCTATGCAGGTGAGGGATACTGGTAGATAGTTGCTGGCTTTGAAGCGCTCCCCTTTCTTAAATATGGCTGACACATTGGCTGTTATCCACACCTCAGGTATGCTGCCAGAAGAGAGGCACTTTTTGTAGATGACGACCAGGTATGATGAACACTGTTCAGCCATCTCCTTAAGGATGCGCGCAGAGATCATGTCTGGGCCTGCTGCCTTCTTTGGGTTGAGCTTCCTGAGTAGTGTAAGCACTCCCTTGTTGGTAATCTCTATGTCAGGCATGGTGGGGGATAGTTCGCCCTCAGGATTTGGGATGCTGGATTTGTCCTCCCTAGTGAAAACGGATTGGTATTGTTTGTTTAGGATATTGGCTTTGTCGATTGATTCAGCATGTAACTTGCCCTTGTCTTTCAGTGGTGAAACCCCACAGTTGTCCCTTCTCAACGATTTGATGTAATTCCAGAACTTTTTTGTTTTGATGGTTGTTCTGAGGCTGGATCATTGGCATCGATTAGGTCTTCTAAGTACATGTATAGCCAATATTCTTGTCGTTCTTTCTTTTGAGTTTCTCTTTTGGCCTGATGGTATCACAGTGATTTTCCTACTTTAATAACAGACTCCGAAAAAAGGCCTCTTCCCAATTGAAATTTTCTTTAAAATCATGCAGTTTCCCCAAAAATCTGAACTTAAAACCAGCTTTTTTACTTCCCAAATCAGCAATTTTAATTAATAATTTTTCCCAAAATCAAGAGGCTATGGTCTCTTCCCAATAAAGTGAGAAAAATCACTGTATCGCCGCCTATCCTTGAGGGAACCAGTTGATTTGAACTTGGATAGTAGTTTGTTTCTTTTTCGATGGAGAGTCTTTACTGTCTTGGTGATCCATGGTTTGTGTATCTTGTTACCCGAGATGGTTTT